TAGATATATATAGATATATATATATATACATAGATAGATAGATATAGATAGATATATATATATATATATAGAGAGAGAGATATCTATCTAAATGTCCTTTGTTCTAGAAAAGGTATAATAAATTTTAATAATAAAATAAAAAGTATCTGTGCAGATAATGCCTTTACTGTAGAATATTTAACTAATATATATATATATATATATATAATGTGCCTATAACGACATTTGGAGCACATAATCTCCTCATCCTTGGCTATGAGATTGGTCAATGAATTGCTATATAAAGTAAAAGATTAAGTAGGTTTAAATTTAATGAGCTTTTTATGATCCCCCAATAAAAACAAATATACATGTGGTCTGTTGTCTTATAAACTTTGCTTTTGTAAGAAGAACACTTTTAAATATTAGTACAAGTAGCAATGGCTAGGGTAAGTTAATTTGAAAGTGAAAGTCACACATAATTGCCATCAAAGTTTATCAATAAAACCCCACAATGAAACTGACCGTAAAGGAGCAAAGGAGAATATAATGACCATATGTAGAACTACTAAGTATATTTAGTAATTTAGGAAAAAATCTGGTATTAGACTGTGGTTTGGTTCAGCCAGTTATTTGAAGAAAATTAAACTACTTTTTTTATATTTTATTATAATATATATATTTTTTATTTTTTACTTTATTTTATGTTAGTGTGTTAGTCTAATTTAGTTCCTTAATTCTATATTCCACAGCTTAGTATTCTTTAATTTTTCCTTTTGTGTGTGGGGGAAGGGTTATTATTCAGAAAAACAAAAATTGTGCCAAACTTGTTCTGCATTGAAAGGATCTGCAGCAAAGCTAGCTTGTGCCAAGTTGGGGGGGTGCGCTGAAGTGGGTCTGTGCTGAACTGCTGGCACTGAAGTGTCCTAGATCCCCTGGATATGATGATAAACTACATCTGGCAGCAAGATCACTGATCGGGAGAGTGGAGATTTTAAGGAGCATGGAGCCATCTCTTAATTGCTGTTGTTCTCCAGTACACCTTGACCCGGGGTGCTGGCACCTGTTCGGGTCCCAGCTATTGGCAAATAGTGAACCTCCAAACAAAAAGAAAACACAATGAAAGTATAAAAATACATTTTTTACTGTAAAAAAGACAACAATACCTATTTATAGTAAAATTACCAACAACACAATTTTAAAGCAAAATGACCATTAATACATTTTATAGCAGAATTACTAACAATACATTTTATCTTTGAAGACATACAATTGTGTTCAAAATACATTTAGTTGAAGTCATAAAATTATGTTCCAAATATTTTGATTTTAGCATTAAATAACCCAAAGAGGTGTTGATATGCTGCTAAACAAAATCAACCAATCAATCATATTCAGAAATGATTTTCTCATTTGTATTTACAAATGATGCTCTATATAGACCAAGGTAACTACAACGTTAAAGTTTGTTGCTGATCTGTTGAAATAAATTCAGGTAACCTTCCTGGAATTTTGAACTGAACCCTCTATTTATTCAATAGGGGGAAATTGTTCTCATTCTGCTGACCATATCTAGAACTATCCTGTCTAGTTCTTATTTAGTACTGCTCAGTTCTTGCTTACCGTTGAGTCCACACTGCCTGGCTAAGGAATTGTATTCACAATTACTATCATTATCATCAGCAGGATGGGTAGGTTTAAGGCTCCAAGTTCTCTACTCAAGATTGTCCTACAATTGCTTAGTGGATTAAAGCATTTGTTTGTGAAATAGTAATTGTGAGTTCAATCCCTGGGCTGTGCTGTGTGTACTTGTATTCAGTGGAAATGAACTGAGTAATAACTGTGCAGTATTAAATAAAAACTAGATGAGATATCCATAGACATGGTCATCAGAATAAAGTGTTCACTTTGAAATTCTCTGAAGGTTACCTGATTATAGCTGGAGGGTACAATGGCCAAATGTGTTAATCACAAAAAAGATGAAGAAATTAGTCCATATATAAATAATGATAACTCTCCATTGTAGAAATTCAAGTGTAGACTAAATAAATTCTTTGGATAACATGATTTAAAGGGTTTGTTTATTTTGTCTGCCAATTCATAACATGTTTGAAATGTTTAAAAATGAAAAAGAGGCAGTCATTAAAAGTATTGATCAAAATCATAGAATAATATGGTAAAATCAATTGGACCAATTTATCAGATCTACTATCTTCTCTTCTGGTATTCCCAAGCTGTCACCCATCTAGGTACTGACCAGGCTTGACATTGCTTAACTTTAGATTGATCAAAAGCATTGAATAATATGGTAAAATCAGTTGAGCCAATTACATCTGTCATTTTTAAAAGCATCAAATAGAAAAAAAATAGGCATCAGGAATTGTTTTTTTGATTGATTCCTTTTTTTTTTACACCTTAACTCTTTGCAGGTTATTTGAAGCCAGAAAATATTTTTAAATTATAAGAATATGTTTTTTCAGATAATGATTTAATGATACAAATCTTGCTAATTAACCCATATCTGGAGGGGAGAAGAGGTGGATTCATACCTTTCCCCGAGGTTATTTGTGCATAAGTGAATATGATAAATCCAACTGGAATTAGAACTCAGCTCTCTAGTTAACAATTCTGAGCCATTATCCATTATGCCACCTGCACATTCAAGCTTACAGCATCCGATATTCCCAAGCTGTCACCCATCTAGGTACTGTCCAGCCTTGACATTGCTTAACTTCAGTGATCGTTCAGGAGGCAGTGTTTTTGTTGAGAATCTGGCTTTTTGATCAGCTCTTAACTTGTTTTGTACTTATTGTTTTTCTATTTTGATATTGTAACAAGTTTTTAGAAAGATGTTCAGGAGATGTCGGATTAAGTGCATATCCAGGATTATGCATATTTTTCACTATTACCGTATATACTTGAGTGTAGTGCAAGTTTTTATGATCTTTTTTTCTATGTAAAAATAGCGGGTTGCGCTATACACGGGTAATTTTTTTTGAAGAAGTTAAAAACATGCATTTTTTGGTGACCAGTTGCCCCATATACAGATAAGTTTTTTGTGAAGGTTCTAAAATTCACATTAAAAATTTCAGGATTTGCGCTATACATGAAGTCAGCTTATACAGATTTCATGGTGGGTATTAATAGGATAAGTCTTACATTTTTTTTTTTTAAATAAAAACAATTAGCATATAGTTGTTTAATTTTAAATAGTGACTGTGGAAATTATATTCTATTTTTATTAAGAGTTTATCCTTTGACTGTATTTATTGTTTTGTATAGCGTTGTTTTTCCAGTCTTAACATGTTAGAGTTTTTTTGTTTTTTGAAAATCCATGTTCCTTCAGGTCTTAGATAACCATGGCTCTCCACACAGTCCTTTATTATCTATGAATTGCCATGAACTTCTGGGAAATATATTAGAGTGGTTACACATTGCTTTCTCTACAGTTTTGAATTCAGATAGGAGTAGATAGGTTTGTCTATTATCCGGTTCACACTCCTGCCTGGTCTTTTGAACAGGAGTAGAGGTTTATCCCTTGTTTCTTGCTTAGGATTGAGTTTTCAGTTCCTTTAAAGTCTACTTCAACTCTATATCTCTAACCTTTCTAATTGAGCTCTGAAATTTTATTCACTAATTATTATTTTTCTTCTCTTCCAAAAGGAGTAGATAGATTTGACTACCATCAGGTTCACAGTCCTCCCATTTCTTTTGAACAGGAGTAGAGGTTTATCCCTTGTTTCCTGTTAGGATTGTGTTTCTGGTTCCTTCTAAAGCTTTTTCTTTCACTTCTGGTGGCCCCTTGCATCTTGGTGGCATTATCACCTTGCTTGGGGTGGTGCCAAGCAATAGCAATAACCTCCTACCTTAAGTGGCTCATGGATATCATTGTTGTGTGTGTAATCCTTCTCTTAGACTGGCTGCCATCGAAGGCTAGAAAAGAAAACCCAGTCTACTCTATTTAATCAATAGTGGGGAGAAGAAACGGATTCATGCCTTTCCCAAAGGTATTAGTATGGAAATGAATGGAACAGGCTAGGTCAGAATTTGAACTTGGATTTCTGGTTTTCACTTTCCACACCAATAACCATTATACTAACTGGAACTTCAAGAATAGAGAAGAAGAATGGAACTTTAGGGAAAAAGTCCTGTCAGCAGAATGCCAGCATCAGACATAATGAAGCTATTTTTGGTAGATATGTACTCTCATATGGATTTGTGAGTAAAAAAGTTTTTTGTTATGATCGATATAAGTAGGTTGGTTAATAGACCTGATCAAGTATGTTACTAAGTTCCACTTGAACAGCTTCTTCCTGTGAACCACTGGTCTGTGGAACAGATTCTCAAGAGGATGTTTCCCCGATGACTACAATCTTAACCTATTCAGTTATCTTCCCTCCTATCCATATAAACTACCTCTTAACATAACCCTCTACCTTGAGTGGTCACTGGGCCTTGTATAGGGTTGTTCTGGTGACAAAAGTGGTTGATGTTCTCAAACGAGAGAGCAGTTTTTTTTCATTGGTTGATGGTTGGAGAGGACAAATAATATTAGCATATCTGAGATGCATTTATGGCAACAGTTGCCACTGACTTATTTTTATTTTGGTTATTTTGTCTTTGGCATATCGTATAGAACACACGTGCCCTTATTGTTGGTAAGTAACTTTTTCTTTCGCCACAATGGTGAACCTTACTGTAAACATATATATATAGTGTAGTTATTAAAATGTTTTCTTTTTCAGATGCTAGGCCGGATATTTCTCCATTGTTACGACAGCTGCTATACAATCCCACTTGTTCTGTTTTGCATTCTGACTGAGATCAATCTTATTAGACTTGTGACATCTCAGGAATATAAATTTGGTGATACTTCCCAGTTGTGCTGGAAAAACTTACCTACACAGAAATGGCTTTGTCGACCAGTGTGCCAACATGGCTATTTCTCACTACCTGGTATGGAATACTGTATGCAATGGTTGGACTGTGAACACCTAAATACTGACATTGATATTGGCAATATGATTGGCCAGGGTGCCATTAAAATGGTAAGTTACCTTCTTGGGAGCTAAGAATCTTATTCTCTGATTTATTAGGTTGTTACATATATTTATAATTTATTTTAATACTTATTATTTACTAATCATTCAACAACATATTCTTCTTCATTGGTGCTGGTGGGATTCCACTTACACTTCTCACCAGACCAGGATCTAGGCAGGGAGCTGGTTTAGTTGCTGCCCATTCAGGTTTTGAATTCGGAGTTGTCCTTCTCCTAGACTGGTTGCCACCCATGGTTATAGCCCCCCTGTCATGCTTTATCTTTACAAGAATCAAATTAGACCAAAAATGGAGTATTGCTGCTATATCTGCCTGGAACAGTTTCGGCTCATTCTATCACTCTAGAAAGTACCTGACTCCTTCTGCCATGCTTTATCTTTACAAGAGTCAGATTAGACCAAGCAATGGTGTATTGCTTCTATATCTGGGCTGGAGCTGCCTCATCCTCTCTTTCCAGCTTTGACAGAGTTTAAAAGTATTTGCATGGCCTTGTAGGTGATGAATTATTTTCAACCCTAAAGTCCCTTTATCACAGATGCAATGTCACAAACCTATCACTACTCTATTGCTATTTCCATGGCAAATGTTTTGAGCTACATTCCTTGGTTCTATCAGTTCAGATATCTTTGCCACATACACAATTGTCATTTTGAATCTGATTGGTTGTTTCTTTGAGCCAATTTTTCTTTTCTCTCATTGAGATAATTTCTGTTTCCAACCAGATTTTGGTCCTTTTGAATGAAAGAAACTTACTATCAGAATATCTCTGTCTATAAAAGGCAGGATGCGTGTGTGTGTGCGTGTGTGTAACAAATGCACAACTGCAATTTTTGATGGATTTGCACCAAAATTTACATGCTCCAAGTTAGCGGGAAGGCCAAGACTGACTTTGCATTTCCCAACTTTCATCGATAGTGGAAATAATCGATTTTTTCATGCTTCTACCCCAGTTTTCATGTACTTTGCGGCCATTTTGTACTGGCCACAGTGAGAGCCAATCGCTGGCTGCCACGAATAGGCAGGAAGATTCTATTGGCCAGCGTGAGAGCCCACAGCTGACTAACACAAATGTTAACTAGCATGCTATCATGCAAAAAAAAATCAATAGCTGCATTCGTCACAAGTGGAAAAAATTTAAATCTGCATGGCACTTTACTCCAATTGGCTCATTCACTTGCTTAAACTCAATGTTGATTTTGATTCTGCAGAACTGGATTGGGTGTGAAAAAGTATTTGTTGTCAACATTCTTTTTTCATTTGGTTTTTCCAGTTACGAGTCCTTTTTTAAAGCTGATCGTTTTGTGTTCATTTTGTTTAGTTCTTTTTTCATAACAGATTTAATGTTTAGTATAGAGCATAGAAAAAATTTGCAGTGTGAGATAGGCAAGAAGTAAGGCATGTAACAACATCTGCACAGCAAAGAGCACTCCTTTAAAGGTAAGGAAGGGCAAAAATATTTTAAGTCAAGTGATAGCGATTGCAGTATAAGTCGTACGATTTTTGAATCAAGCATGGGCTCAAAAATGTATAGCTGGTAATATTATTTTAAAACATGTATTGCAGGTAATATTTTTTTTTTTTCAAAAGCGTATTGCTGGTAATATTTTTTTTCAAAAATATATTGCTGGTAATAGTTTTTTTCTTCAAAAATTTATTTCTGGTAATAATTTTTTACAAAGTATTTCTGCTATTAAAACCTATTTTTACAATTTTATAATGCTTTTTACCTCGGTTTCGGGGTTAACTATTTGCCCATAGCTAGGACCCTAACAGGTGCTACCACCCCGGGTCAGGGTGGACCTGGGAATGCCAGCAATTAAGAGGTGGTTCCACGCTCCTCAAAACCTCCTGATCAGAGGCCTTGCTGTTGGATGTAGTTTATCGTCATACCCAGTATGTGGATGTAGTTTATTGTCATACCCAGGATGAGGCAACATCAGGGGAGAGTGTCTTCACATGTATTCATTGCAATCATGTAGGCCTGTACAGCCATAACAGATGCTACACTGCCATTAGCAGATGAGTTATGACTCTTTGGGCGCAGATCTGAGGTTTCTTGAGACTGACTGATGCCACACACATTACTACAGAAGAGAGGTTCGTAAATTAGAGACAATTTATATTTGGGATTTAGTTTTCTCATAAAGTGTAACAACTTTTCAGTATTTTTTAATTGAGACACACGGAACTAACTCTTCCACCCTCTTGCTTTCTACTCAACTTTGATCTTCAAAAATTTAAATGCAATGTCTACCATTATCTTCTGTCTCCTTGAAACCTGTTCTTTTATTGTCCTCTCTTCTTAATAATGAGTTTTTTTCAGATTCTTTCACTCTCAGTAACCGTTTGTGTTTTAGTGGCTTTATTACCTTTCTTGTGGAAAGCCATCACCACCTATGTCCTGTAGGGATATAGATAACAAAAAGTATAAATATAATTTATCAACACCAATTAACAATATTGGAAAGATTAAAAGGTAATGATTTTGCTTCTGAGCACATAAAAAATTACCTGACAATAGAAAATTTCCCAAGTGCTATATATTAAAAAACAATGAATTTGATTGAAATTTCTTTTTCATCTTTATTTTATATTAAGAGGGCGAACAGTGAATTAGTGCTACATCACCCCATTTGGTATTATTGAAGTTGTCTCCCTTTGAAACGATTTTTTTTTTCCTGATACATTTTTTTCTGCTTTACTCTATTTACATTGTTTGGACTATTGTCCTCACCTTTACTGTCACATTCACAACATTTCAGCCGTTGTATGCTTTGACCTTCTTCTGGTGATATTTGTTGGAATTTAAAGTTCACATACCATGCTTTTTTTTTTTTTTTTTTGATATCTCAGTTTCAGTTAATTTGCCTTGATAACTCTAAGTTTTGTTCTCTTTGCTGATTGAACTCACAACTCTTTGGGTCAAATCACTTTTTTGATCAATCAACCAACTCTTTTATCCACTGGGCCATGAGTCCTTGGAAATGTCCTTGGGGGCACGAATCAACAACGTTGAAAAAATTAAAAAGGAATGATTTAGGTACTGAGTACTTAAAAAAATTAACAGGAAACAGAATATATATATAAAAATGTCTTAAAAATAATTGTCAGACTTTGTCCATTTCATAATGTAATTTGTTTACATTTGGATACACCATGAGCAGATATGAATGTACGTGAGAGAATAATGGAAAATTGAAGTTTAAAGGAAGTAAATTCAACCTTGCTAATCGAACGATTCTCTGTGGCTCGATTTTATATTTTTAATTTTGTGCATATGTGTTGTTTGTTTTTGATTTTGTCGACTGCACAATATAGTAGGGTCAGTTGGGTGTAACAAAAAGAGCACCATGATGCAATTCACTCTGTGTTTGTGTGTCAATCTGAAGACAGTGTAGAGGATTCAGAAAGAGTTGGATGATATATACAGTCAACATCATGGTGTTTGACATAAATACTAGTGATGGCGATGTTATATCTCCATTCATTTTCTTACAGGGCCTCAGATTCAACATGGAGGCCTACATCAAGTACCTTGAGGGGGTAGTGCTGCCCTGGGTCAAGAGGGTGGCTGCTGGAAGACCCTATATCTGGCAACAGAACTGTACCATGCCACACAATCAGGAGAACTCAGCCATGGCTTCTAGACAATTTCTGTGACCACATCACCCCTTATATCTGGTCACCTAACTCCCTAGACTTCAACCCTTAGACGACAATTTATCCATCGCACAATGTATATTATATCTACTCATTTTTATACTGATCCTTTCCAGTTGTCTAATTGATTTCTTGATGTAATATGCACTTTAATATATTGTTGCTAGATTCATAATAAATTTAGTTGAGTGTTGGTTGATTTTGATAGAGAGGGCCTTGAGAATTTGAAGTTTTTGCTTATTATTTTCATGGTGTAGCATATTGGGGTTATGAACAAGTATTTTTCTTCACTGTGAAGGTGGACAAAAATGTGTTTTTAGATGTTGTACAGTAGAACTAGTATCAGATAAATGAAGTATAAGACATCTTGATAATGTTGTGGTAGCCAATCCAACATACTTGCTTTATATATATCTGTCTGTGGATGACAATATATATATATATTGTCATCCACAGACAGTTTCGCTATATCACAGCTCATCAGTGTCGCTAGACGTCCGGTTGCCCCTAGCTAGGAGCAAAACCCAACTGAATTGGCATCAGTCGGAGATTCTACTACTAAGCCAGTGGCACATGGCAGGGATGAAGGTGAATTTAAGTGTATTTATTTTAGATAAACACACAGTGACTGAGAGAATTCGATTCAATTTACTGAAGAGTCTTGCATTATTAGCCATAATAGTCACTGTTTACAAACCCACACTTCCTCCCCAGAGAGCTCAACTGAAATAAATTTTTCAGGAGCATATATATATATATATATATATATATATATATATATATATATATATATATATATTCAAAAGCAATGAATTAGGTTTCTATTTCCTTTTCATTTTAAATTATGAGGGTGAACAGGGGATAGATTATGAATCAATCTGCCTATTTGGTATTAGTGAAGTTATCTCCCTTACAATTGAATTTTTCTTACATTTTTTCTGCTTTTATAAGATATTTTCTTTCTTAATCTTTTCACCTCAAGCAAGGCAATAATGCCTCTAAAATGTAAGAGGTTACTTGGAGTGAAATAGAAAAAGAGAAAGAAGAATAAAAGAACAGAATTTAGGAAGACAGAAGATGATGGAAGACATTGCATTTAAATTTTTGGACATCATAGGTGGCAGAGAAGCAATAAACTGAAAGAGTTTCACAGGCAAGAAGTACAAGAAAAGAAACTATTAGAATAAAACTTATGGTTACATCTATTTCAACAGTAAAATAGTGAGACCTAATTGCCAGTCTAGTAGTATGCTTAAATTCATGCAATTGAAGTGCCAAGGAGTAGAGTTCATTAGAACAATTACCATGAAAATATTTATTGATAAGGCACAGGGAAGCCATGTCATAGTGGTGGGGAAAATGACTGAAGTCAGTATGCCAGGTTAGCACTGATAAGATGGCAGACCCTTAAAAATTTTGTTAAAAATTTCAAGATATATAGGAGCACCAGACCAGACTAGACCAGACCAGATTTTTTTTTTTTTTTTTTGAACTTGATTGACTCCAAGTTAGGTGATAATACCACTAAGATGCAAGGCCATATATATATATGTATATATGTGTGTGTGTGTATGTGTGTGAATGCTAAAGGGTTAACATGTTTTTTTAATTTTTATATTTTCAGGTGTTCAAAGCTTTTTGGAAGAACTATACTTTGGCACTAAATATTGCTGCTCGGAAAGAATACTATCCTGATTTTCGGCATGGTAAATCTATGATTATGGCCCTGCAACCTAATCCTCATTTCATTCAACTGATTGGAACATGTGGTACCCGTTACCTCACTGAATATCATCCCCTGACATCAGCTGATAACTTCTTAAGCTATATCACATCAACTCAGTATAAGCAGTTTGACTCTCTGGAATTGCGTTACCAATTGTGCCTGGACTATGTTCATATTGTTGACCTTATGCATAACAGTCCCATTGGCACAAGGGTTCTCTGTGATTCCAATGATCTCAAAAAGTCGCTCAGCCAGTTCCTGTTGCGTTCAGACTTTCGGTTGATCATCAACGACATGGATGCCCTCCCAGAGGTTAACCACACAGCAAATCAACTCATCAAGTGCGGACATAGAGAGATTGGTGGGGACTTTGTGGCACCAGAACAGCTATGGCCATATCCATACAAAAACTTTACAGACGATGAAATGCCGCCATATGATGAAAAGACAGATATCTGGAAAATTCCAAATATTTGTAATCATTTCTTAGGCTCCATGACGGAAGCGATCCCTATAAAATTGCATCTGTTGCATGTTCATTCCAAGTGCAAAGAGGAAGATCCTAACTTACGGCCGACTGCCAGAGAGGTCGCATCAGAGTATAAGAAGGCATGGACTTTATATCAAAAGGAACAGAGACATAAAACAGAACTGTAATTTCTGGGACGAGGTGTTTACATTATTTACATTCAGACTAATATCCTCATCTTTGTTATTATCTGTTATAAGTGAATCATACTAAATAAGGACAAGATGAGATATCCCTAGACACAGACAGCAGACTGAGAACAATCTATCCATCTAGATTTAATAAAGGGTTCAGTATTAAATTACTTGAAAGTTACCTGGATTGGTAGATATTTAAAGAAGTCTAGAGGGAACAATTCCAGGGCTAGATTATGACTTTTTGGAGCCCCTAGGCTAAGGAAATTATGGGGCCCCCTAAGACAGAGCTGCCCACTAACTTCCCAAAAATGTCACAAATATTTTTTAATCATGATATATTTTAGTGACATTTACACAGCTTGAAGAAAACTTATTGCAAATTCTTTAAATAAAATAGAATAGATATCTTTTGTTTGTCAATAAGAATATTTTTTAAAAAATACCATTATTTTACTATTTATTGTAACCAAATTAGCACAAGTTTCAACACAACCATAGTACCCCCCAAAAAAAAAAAAAAAACACATTTTATAATCAGTATTATAACAATATGACAATCCAAATAAATATGAGTTTTTCATATTTTCAGTTTATGAAACTATTTAGAAGTTATAACATCTAGAAAATTAAAATCACTGCTTTATAAAAAATTCTAAGATTTAAACATTTTGAACTAAAATCAATCATGTTATCTACTTGAAATACAATGATGCAAACTAAAATATTCTTTTCCTTGATTTGCTTCCTGCAAAGTCGAATAAATATGAGTTTGTCATATTGATATCATTTCAGCTTATGAAACTATTTAGAAGTTATAACATCTAGAAAATTAAAAATCACTGCTTTAGAAATTTAATCCACTGCTTTAGGGCCCCTCAAGTAAGTAAACTTGGTATACTCACTTGAGGGTCACTGGGCTGCAGCTTATACTAGCCTAAAGGATAATCCAGCCCTGCACTAGGCTGAAACATTGTGATAATAGCAACAAAGATGTGGATAATAGTCTGAATGTAAATAACGTAAATAAAGAACTTCTTTTTATTTTTATTTATTTTCTTTTTTATCAAGATAAAAATTAAAATAAAATATTCTTTTATAAAAAAAGATGTTCTGTTTTTAATTGTTTTATGTGATTGATAAATGTCTTCTAAATACAAGTCAAAAGTAAGCTGTTATAATTATGAAAAAAAGTATTTTTCTCTATTTATTTATTAGATTGTTTATTGAAATGATTGGCAAAACATTGCCTAATTGCCAGTTGATTCAAACTTTATAAAATGGTAAATAATAAGGATTTCCTTATAGTTGCTTCACATATTTTTCATAATTTAGTAAATGTTTATAAATTTAGGAATAAAAAATTGTTTTTAGATTTATTTCTTTATAGATTGGTAAATGATAAATATTGCATTGAATTAGTTTTAATTGTATCAGTTTTTAGAATGTTTTAAATATAAAATTATTTTTGTAAATAAAAAATCTAATAAATATATAGTGTTTAATATTTTTGTAAATTCTCAAGAACAAAAAATGTTTAAATTCATTTTCATCATATGTTTAAGATTTATTCCAATTCTAATCATCAATTTTTAAATCAATAAACATTGCTGAGGAGTGAAGGTAGTTAAAATAATAGTGGTGTCAAGGGAAAAACTATGCTTTTGACACTCCATTTTTTTGCAGGTATCAAGGTCCAAATTTGCTAATTTTTTTTCTTGGTATGAAAGAAGTTGTATATCTTCAATTTTTATGTTATTAAAGAACAAAGACGATGCAAAATTTCCACAAAAATCCATTATTATTAAATCCTATTATAATTGTGCTTGTCCCTTCCCACATTAGTTTGCAGGACCATTACACCCTGCCAATACCTCATGAATAATGGAATATTCCGTTTTGATCCTGTGGAAAGAGGGGAAAAGACACTACTACTTGTTTTCATTTGAGAAAATGAAAGAAAGATGTTTAATATCTGCCAATACCTTGTAAATAATGGAATATTCAGTTTTGATCCTGTGGAAAGAGGGGAAAAGACACTACTACTTGTTTTCATTTGAGAAAATGAAAGAAAGATGTTTAACATCTGCCAATACCTTGTAAATAATGGACTATTCCATTTTGATCGTGTGGAAAGAGGGGAAAAGACACTGCTACTTGTTTTCATTGAGAAAATGAAAGAGAGAAGAGAAGATAGAATTGTTTAATGACTGTTACAGTAGAAAAAGTTGTGTAGTAGGATTAGGTAGTAGTAACACCATATGGAAATATACACTTTCCTTTTCACTAAGAGAGTAACAAAAACAAAACTCTCTCTATTACACATACTTCCTTTCCTACCTTCTATTATTCCTATCCTCAATAACTGACAGAACCCAGACATAGCTTATGTGGGTCAGTGAATGTCATAAAAAAATCAACCGACAACATGTATTAAATTAAAACAGAAAAAACGGATGTGTCAGGCCTAATAAAAAGAAAAAAAACGTGTGCACCAGAAGAATTGGGAAATTGTTTTAATATAGCAGTTTGAGATGCAAGGGTTGGAGATTCATCGGATATGTGAGTTTGACCAGACGTACAACTCCAGAAGAAAAAGAAGAAGGATGAATGCAATGAATTAATTTCTGTCAACCAAAAGCACAATGACCTTGTCTTGAACTCTCTAATCACAAAAAAGAATTAAGGTGATAGTCACCCACTTTAACCACTGCAACCAAATGGAGTCAAACATAAAATGGTACTATAGACAGTAATTTTTGGTCTATACTCATGTATTAGCCCAAACTTCATCTCTATATACCATAGTTGTCAATTTCAAATCTTTGTTTGTACCCACTTCTTAAAATAATGACCAGCAGTCATATTTATTTATGATTGCTATGTTAGTTATTCCAATATTTTGTTAAAGTTATTAAGCTCAAATATTTAATGATGCGATAGGGGAATTTCTCTGGATATTTTATTGTCGTAAAACTCGCCATGAGCTTATTCAATCATTAACTTCAGAATTAAGAATTATAAGAAAATTAAAATAGGAAAAACGTGAAATTTTCGAGGGTTAAAAATACAGGGTGGTCTGAAAGTCTTGTCACCACCTACCTCACTTCCAAACTGCAGGAGCTCAAGTCAGCCATCTGAAATAGAAAATTATATTATGTAAAGGTGACAAGACTTTTGGACCAGATTGGAGTATTCATTATATAGCCAATGCAGAAAAATGCTCATTGTTGTCTCCCTTGAACCATTTGTAAATTTCCAGTAAAATAATTTAAATATAGTCAGAAAATGGAATCAGCGAGACGAATTCAAAGTCCAGCCTAGTTTCTTTTGTTTAAGGTATAACTACATCTCTTCTCCTCCCAGCTATGGATTAAATAGTATGGAACACTGGGTTCTTTAGCCTTTGATAGGAGCCAGTCTAAGAGAACTATTACTTTGAATTCCAAACCATGGAGAAGGCAACTAGAGACCACTTTCTCAAGAAATCATGCCAATTCACAGAAAGTATAGAAAAAGAATCTTAAGATCAGTAATTAATTGCGTCCTTCAGAGCAGTAGATGAAATATGATACTGTTTAAAATAAATGGAGTATCTATTTAGACACGTGTATCCAATAAAAATGATGTAATAAAAATATGTATGAGTTTGTATTATACAAAAATAATTATATTATAAAAAGTATTATGATAACTTAGTATAAATATAACCAAGAAATATTTAATATTCAGAAATATTGGTGAGGTCAGTATGATGTTTGAAAGACCCGAAACTGCCCGATGTTCCATCTCAAGAACATCACTGATGACGCCCTCTAGCGCTAAAGGAGCGTATATTCAAAGCAGAAATATTTAATATTAAGAAAATATTCAATATTAAGAAATATTCAGAAATATTTAATATTAAGACATATTCAGAAATATTTAATATTAAGTAATGTTCAGAAGTATTCAATATTAAGAAATATTAAAATATTCAATATTAAGAAATATTAAGAAAATATTCAATATTAAGAAATTTTCAGAAATATTAAAAAATATTCAATATTAAGAAATATTAAAAAATATTCAACATCAAGAAATATACAGAAATATTCAGAAATATTTAATATTAAGAAATATTCAGAAATATTGAAAATATATTTAATATTCAGAAATATTCAATATTAAGAATATATTAAATATTCAGAAATATTCAATATTAAGTAATATTCAGAGGTATTCAATATTCGGAAGTATTTAATATTAAGAAATATTCAGAAATATTTAATATTCAGAAATATTTAATTACAAAATAGTGATTTTAGAATATTCTGGAATGTTCTGAATTCAAGGTGGCATATATTTCAATAATTTTGATACTTGAATGAATTAAGAGACTTCTGGTTTTAATCTTTGGTTTCTATCTATATATTAAAAAATAATACTTTTGTTTTCTCAATTATATCTCTTTTTTTACTAAAATAATTGAGAATAAAATTTCTTTTCTTTATGAACACAGAATATTGTTTCTTTTTTTCAGTTTGAGTGACAATACTTCAGGGCATGAGACTAATTAAAATTTGTTCTTTCATTTTTATAACAGACACAATTGTCAAGTTTTGAGCAATGTTCTTTATTATAAGATGAATGCTGCAAAGAAATCTTAGAATTTGAATAAAAATAAATAAGCAAGTGAAGAAGTAACATAAAATAAATAGAAAAGGTTAAGGATGAGTTCGGATGATGCTGTGGTTGGAGATGATTATTGTTTTTTATAACATCTTTGGTATTGGTTACTTTCAATGATGCTAAATGCTTTGAATGCTTATTAGGTATTAAATTCACTCCAAGCCTCAAGTGGAACTCATATAATCTGTTGGTACAAAAGCTGGAAAAATGGTCTGCTCATTCTATCACTTCAGACACTATCTGACTCCTTTTGCTATGCTTTATC